GTGAGTCACAAGGCACGGTACAAAAGGGAAGAGAAGGAAACTGAAGAGGAGCTCTGAATGAACACACACAAAAACACACCCTAATTTGCATCTTGTTTGTACCCTGAGCTTCTAATAATCATCTTTATTCAGATCCACTGCAGAGCAGACTCCTTCTTGGCTATCCAGGAATGAAACCTCTGTGTGTCTCACACTACAACAAAACAATCTCACATTAATGAGAAAAAGAAGAAAAAAAACACAATCACACAGAGCAGCCTGCCTTTAACTACTGAAATGGAGCACTGGCTGTAACAAACCCCTCCACTGTAAGATACTGAGCTGCGCAATGTGTTGCTATTCACATACATTTATTTAGCAATGGTGTATCTCTGTTTATAAAGGAAACTTGATACCTGTGTGTATGTGCTTCAGCAACAAACAGTTGTTAAGGGTGTTAAGGCCTTTAGAAATTAGAACTGAAAGCAGCAAGTTACACGGATACTAGGTAAATGAGCAGTTACAAGAAAAGAGTGGTTTTACTGTGTAGCTGTTTTATGTACATTCTGCAAAATAAAAGTGAGAGAAAATGTATTGGTTTCACTCTCAAAATATTTTTTATATAATTGATATTCTACATCATTAAAGGGCATAATGTATTCACTGCTTTCCTTTAAGTTCTTTAGGCCTAATAACAGGGTTGAAATTCATTACATATAGTTTTCCCTCTTTTATAAGAAATACAAATTGGCCAACTACAGTGGGGTTCACAATTGCCCCATTTTTCAATCCATGAATTAGTCAGTTATTATTAATTACCATTTCCTAATAGTGCTACTGGCTGTGGGTTAAAGTAATGGCATGGCGGCAACGTGACTGTAAAGGGAACTGAAAACACTGAACGTATATTTGCGGGCATTACATGCGAGTCTGTATACACACATACATTCACACAAAAAACTGCTTGATCATTAAAGTAGATCTCAAAGCATCTAAATCTAAAAGGAAGCCCTGTTGTGGTGGCAGCCTGGCTGACGGTGAGTGTCCTATTTATTTCTCCTTTTTGCTTGTGATTCTGTTTTCCCTGGTGGTTTGGCCTGCCTGTTTGTGTCTCCTCCTTTCCCCCTGTGTGTGTGTGCTCTCCCTCTCTCCCTCCGCTCCTGAGCCCAGCCAACGACCCGCACCTGCATCTCGTCAGCCACCTCCTCTGCCTGCCACACCTGCCAGTAATCAGCCTCATCTCCGACAGTACTTCTCCAGTCAACCCCTGCTTGATCGTCGTTGCTCCTTACTCGGTGCCACTTCACCACTCAAGCTCTGAGTATTCTGTGTAATTCCTATTTCCCCAGTGTCTAACCCTGTCCTTGTCTCAGTCTTCTCGGTTCCCCGTGCCCGCGTTTCCCTGACGTCTGCCTCTCTCTCACCTCCACTCCTCCTACCCCTTTTCCTCTTCAATAAAGCCTGTTCTTCCCGAGTGTTGCATTTGGGTCCACTCTGTCCCCACATCACAACAGAACGATCAAGCCAACATGGACCCAGCACGCTCGCCCTCACCCCCCTCTGCAGAGTCCACAGACTTCGAGGACAGGCTTCTGGCCTTCATCAAGCTGAGAGGCCTGTAGGAGAGATCCATCTGTGCCAGGGCTCGACAGCTTTTGGTGGGTGAACCTCATTTGAGGGACGCTAGCTTCCTCCGCACCGTATCCCCTCCACCCGTGGAGGAGTCCCCGAACATGCACCTGACTCCCCTGCCAGTGTCTGCGTCTGGGTTGCCGTCTCAGTCTGTACTTTGCATACCCCATGATCATCAGACCAGACCGGAAATAGACCCAGCAGACATTAGCCATTCGCCGGGGGATCTGCGCAAGGTGAGAACCATCATGGACAATTTTCTTTGTGATTTAAGGACTGAGGATTAGCATGAGAGACTGGAAGCGCTAGCCCGTTTTGAGAAGGCTCTGGACCAAAAACCGTGCCTACTGAATGCTCCTGGTGTGGCTGGGCTGGTTCGGGAGGTGGGTCTTCTCAAAGGATCCCTGCTATCTGCTTTGAACTCCCCCAGTGCTCCTCATGCTGGGCTTAGCATGGGCCCTGCTAGCCCCCAACCTGTCCCTTCTGATCCCCAGCATGCTAGCGCCACTGGCCCCCAACCTGTCCCTCCCTCCCCCCAGCATGCTAGCGCCGCTGGCCCCCAACCTGTCCCTCCCCCCAGCATGCTAGCGCCGCTGGCCCCCAACCTGTCCCTCCTGATCCCTGGCCTGCTAGCGCCGCTAGCCCCCAGCCTGTTTCCCGGCCTGCTAGCTACACTAACCTCCAGCCTGTCCCTCCTGTCCCCCGGCCCGCTAGCCCCCAGTCTGGTCCTGATCCCCAGCCCGCTAGCGCCGCTAGCCCCCAGCCTGTTCCCCAGCCTGCTAGCACCACTAGCCTCAAGCCTGTCCCTCCTGATCCCCGGCCGGCTATCCCCCAGTCTGGTCCTGATCCCCGGCCGGCTATCCCCCAGTCTGGTCCTAATCCCCGGCCTGCTAGCCCCCAGTCTGGTCCTAATCCCCGGCCCGCTAGCGCTGTTAGCCCCCAGCCTGTCCCTTGGCCTGCTAGCCCCCAGTCTGGTCCTAATCCCCGGCCCGCTAGCGCCGTTAGCCCCCAGCCTGTCCCTTGACCTGCTAGCCCCCAGTCTGGTCCTGATCCCCGGCCTGCTAGCTCCCAGTCTGGTCCTGATCCCCGGCCTGCTAGCTCCCAGTCTGGTCCTGATCCCCAGCCCGCTAGCGCTGCTAGCCCCCAGCCTGTTTCCCGGCCTGCTAGCGCCACTAGCCTCCAGCCTGTCCCTCCTGTCCCCCGGCCCGCTAGCCCCCAGTCTGGTCCTAATCCCCAGCCCGCTAGCGCCGTTAGCCCCTAGCCTGTCCCTTGGCCTGCTGGCGCCGTTAGCCCCCAGCCTGTCCCTCCTGATTCCTGGCCTCCTAGGGCCGCTAGATCCCAGCCTGCTCTTCATGCCGCGGCGGAGGAGCGACCGACACCTACTCCGTTGGTGGTCCGGCCGACCCGTGCCCTGTTGGTGGTCCAGCCAACCACGGCCCCCCATACCTTGTCAAAGGACTGAGCGATGTCAGCCCCGTCGGTGGTCCGGCTGACTCCCGCTCCTCGTGCCCTGTTGGCGGATCAATCTGCTTCAGCCCCGTTGGTGGTCCGTCCGACCCCTGCTCCTCGCTCCAAGGCCGTCGCCCAGCCCACGGCCCAGAACACGCCACCTCCTTGTTCCTGTCCACGGTCCCCAACCCTCCAACCCCTTCTCTGGTTCCCCCTGCTCCCGCTTCGGCGCCGGCCCTCAGCCCAGCAGCCCCGTCCCTGATTCCCCCTGCTGCTGTCACGCTGCCGGCCTTCAGCCCTACTCCCCGGTCCGCCTGAGGCTCCTTGCCCCCTCTCAGTCCCGCCTTCGGGCCACCCTCCTGAAGCCCCTGGTCCCTCGGGACGCCCGCCTGAACCCCCTGGTCCCTCTGCCCTGCCCTCGGGACGCCCGCCTGAACCCCCTGGTTCCCCTGCCCTGCCCTCGGGACGCCCGCCTTAACTCCCTGGTCCCCCTGCTCTGCCCTCGGGCACCCTGTCTGGCCCTGTTTCCTCAGTTCTGCCCTGCCCACTCACCTCTCTAAGTCCCTTGTGTCCCGTTTTGGACCCTAGACCCCCGCCAGCCGTCTCCCCTCCAGGTTCAATCGCCTCCCTCCATCCTCCATTCCGTCAGCTGGGCTCGCCACCCATCCCTCTCCCCTCTGACCTCTTCCACGGCGTCCTCCCGGCTCCTCCACGTGCCTCCTTGCTTCCTCTGTCCCCAGTGCCCCCGGCTCCCTTGTCTCAGTCTCCTCGGTTCCCTGTGCCCTTTTTTCCCCCGGCGTCCGCCTCTCCCTCACCTCCACTCCTCCTACCCCTTTTCCCCTTCAATAAAGCCTGTTCTTCCCAAGTGTTGTGTTCAGGTCCACTCTGTCCCCACACCACAACAAGCCCCAAGATTGTCGCATTTCCTAAATATATCAATTCAAATGGTAAAATAATTAATAAGCAATCAGGAGTGTGGCGAGATCTCGCGATAGTAAAAACTGACGATATTTCTTGTTGAGGTAAAAAGCGGTCTCATTTATGCATGATAATGTTGTGAGGGTCAAATTAGAATAGAAGATGCCCCCCACCACTTTTAAATTGTTTGTGTGGCACCATTTTGGGTACCCGACGTAAAGACAAACGATATACAAGCATTTATTAATTTTGCATTTTGTGACAAGTCATATTTCGTGATTGAAGATTTCCAAAACGATATCTTTTTGGGGAACCCAATATTGAATATCGTTTTGCCTGCTGACCTAAGTGTATCGTCACACCCAGTGATTCATGCATAATTTTACATGCATATTTGTGGAAAAAAGATGTTATCAAAATTGCTTTTGATGTTCTTCCTCAGGTTTTTTAAAAGTGTTTGTCATGTTCTGACCATAAAAAAATAGTTTTTAAACACAATTAACCATCTTGTTTCTTCAACTTTCACTCTGGAGCAAAGCTCAGCCTTTAAACTTCAAAGAAATAATGATTTGACATTTAACCTGATGATAATAATTGATATCAAATGTGATAGGAAAAACAGCCCATTTGGCAACTGTGACAACAAGCTGAATCAGCTAAAAGTATACTTAATTTTACTTAAACCCACAGCTACTAAACATACATTGCCTACCACCAAAAACCTATTGGTTATGTTTTAAAACGGTGACTTGTGGTGAGTCAACAATAAGCAAGGAAGACATTACTGATTGCTAGAAGAACTTCTTTACACTTCCGTGTGGCTTTAAACTTCTCTCTTAGCCATGAAATATATTTCCATGCTGTCAACCCCACACAGTCTGCTTTCATCTCATCCACAGCAACTTAAAGGGAACATGAATGCACTACAACTGAAGCCAGCCCGTCACCATCCAGCCGCTACTAGCTTACCAAATAACAGGTGCTTCTGCGGGGCGTTGTTGGGATTTCAAAACATTCAGGGCTCAGTCCAACTGAGCTGATCGAGCTATAATAGGAGGGACACAAGGGGACACTAGGAATGCACAGAATGTTCGGCCACTGAAGTTAATCGACCGAAAATAGCAAAAAAAGCACTTTCGGAGTATGGTATAGTAAGAAATTTATCGAACAATTACGTTGACATGCCGGCAATGTGGAAGCATTTTAAAGTGTCTGAGAAAGACACTTTAAAATGCACTGTTTTGCTGAATTTTCTCCTAGCACATCCACTCCATCTGTGGCTGACTTCTTAGAAAAGGCAAAACAGTTTGACTTGCTTGAGTGTTTCTGTCACACGTTTCTGAGAAGGCGATTAAGCTAGCCGCACCTAAATTTGGAGTGCACAAATATTCAAGCCTTTATGGTAACTGAAATGGACCAGTGCTTGCTGACAGGCAGGTTGCGACTTTATCCTTTCATTTTCTCTCTTATAAAGACAAGTGTTGCAGTAATTGGCAAAATAAATGGAAAAATGTGAATGTACTTGTTCGGTATTCTGCAATTTTTTTCATTATATTCAGTTTCGGCTTCGGCCAAGAATTTTCCTTTCACAAGAGAAATGTGTGGAATCTCAACAGAAAGAGCACCAGGCATAAATTTGACATATTTGCTTCTGAGGAGAGGGATATATTTTATTGTATATAACCATGGTTCATAAGTCCTATACTTTATTATGCCTGACTTGAGAGGAGAAGCAGACATGATGGAAATGCTGAAATGTTGCTATTTTTCAATTTCTTTTTTTTTTTTTAATGAGAAGCTACATTCTTTACACTTTATTATTTACAGATAGATATGCTTAACATTGTTTGTATCTTTAATAATGTTAACTCTGCTGAATGACATGGAATAACTAGGGATACCAATACCTGAGGTTTGGGTATCAGCCAACACCAAGTACCAATCTGATAAGCTGTATTCCTCACTGTGAAGGAAGAGACTGGGACTCACTCTTTTATATGTAAGGCAACATCAGGCTTGATGTAAACATTGCTTCCTAACTTTGCTTCTGGAGGTACTTGATTAAACTGGCTGTGCTACATTTTGCAGTGCTAACTTGTTGGCGTAGCAAACGTGCAATACTCCAAACTGCTGACCCTTTGTTTTTAGCATCCCTTGTTTTAGTATTTTTGTTCGGGTCTAACTGTGAAGTGTGTTTGGCCAATATGCAAAATCAGTATCGGATTGGTGCATCCCTGAACAATGTATGCACTTGTTCCCATAATTCTTCAGACTGAAAAACTCATTGACCACCAGAATCACTTTATTGTGTTTTTTAAACAACTGCTTACAAACATGCAGTCTTGTGTTACCAGTATTTGTACAAAGGCCAATATTAAAAATGCATGTATCAGTACATTACTGGCATCAGCCCAAATGTGCAGAGAGATATATGGTACTCAAATTTGCTGAAAAAAATGTATAGAAAGAACAGCTGCTCTGACCTTTCTGCTCCTCTAGTACATACACTCACCTAAAGGATTATTAGGAACACCTGTTCATTTCTCTTAATGCAATCTAATCAACCAATCACATGGCAGTTGCTTCAATGCATTTAGGGGCGTGGTCCTGGTCAAGACAATCTCCTGAACTCCAAACTGAATGTCAGAATGGGAAAGAAAGGTGATTTAAGCAATCTTGAGCATGGCATGGTTGTTGGTGCCAGACGGGCCGGTGAGTATTCACAATCTGCTCAGTTACTGGGATTTTACGCACAACCATTTCTAGGGTTTACAAAGAATGGTGTGAAAAGGGAAAAAACATCCAGTATGCGGCAGTCCTGTGGGCAAAAATGCCTTGTTGATGCTAGAGGTCAGAGGAAATGGGCCGACTGATTCAAGCTGATAGAAGAGCAACTTTGACTGAATAACCACTCGTTACAACCGAGGTATGCAGCAAAGCATTTGTGAAGCCACAAACGCACAACCTTGAGGCGATGGGCTACAACAGCAGAAGACCCCACCGGGTACCACTCATCTCCACTACAAATAGGGAAAAGAG